TTGAAGTGAAGTGAAGACAGGAGTAAGAAAAGGCTGCCACCTACTATCACCAATAATCTTCCTGATTGTGGTCGACTGGACCACGCAGGAAACAGTGAGGAGTGAGAGGGGATGAGCATACGCTGGCTGGACCGATGAAAAGACCCCAGAATAAGATTTGGATTTCGCCGATGATGATGACTTATGTCTAATGTCTTGTTGCGCAAACTTGAAGATCTACAGGCAAAAACCAACAAGTGGACAGAAGAGGAGGGCAACGAAGACGGGACTTCCTTCAGGTGAATGTAGAGGAGACAGAGATGATGAATATACCCAACCAACAACAGCATCAATAACAACAAGCACCAATCACCATCAATGGGAGAAACCTAAAGGAAGAAGTCTTTCTTACCTACCTACTTAGGCTGCATCGTTTCAACCACAGGTGGCACAGATGAGGACGTCAAAGCCAGGTTCGGAAAGACAGCATGATAGGCCTTCATTTATCTGAAATCAGTGTGGAGATCTACTGCACTCAGCATAAAGCATGAACATAATGAGAATTTTCAACACCAACGTCAATCAAGTCAGTGCTGCCTAATACGGTTCAGAGACTTGGCGCGTCACAAAAAGCATTTCCGACAAACTACACACATTCATCAACAACTGTCCCCTACGCTCACTTCATACTAACACTGAAGACCAGATGGTCGGAATAATAAGAATAAGTAATAATGAATTCTTGCAACGAACTAGCCAAGAACCCATATCCGAACAAGTGTGCTTCAGGAAGTGGAGATGGATTGGGCATACACTAAGAAGGCCGATTAGGGACATCACGCGCCAGGCCAGTCCCTCGAGTGGAACCCAAAGGTGAGGCAGCGAGTGTTGCGTTTGCGGGTGGTATGGACGAGATGGTGTGAGGAGGAAATGAAAGTTTGTAGACAGTTGTGGAGCGAGGTTCAAAAGACTGCAGAGAAGAGAGTGAAATGGCGACGTGCTATTTAAGCCCTAGGTTCCACTAGTAACCGGGGGTACAAATAATCATAGCAATAATATGCAGAGATGAGCTATTTCATTCACCCTTAAGCATGTTCCACTTTGTGAGAACTGAGGATAAGGTAACATTTAAGTGAACTGGGTGACTAATTTGACAGCTATACTTTAACTAGAGGAGCCAAGAATTTTAACATAATTGTTTTAATAAGCACTGTGTTAACACTTTTGATAGTAAAACAATGGTAGGATTCCGATTTCTGACACACGTACAACATATTTATCTTGTACTCCTAAATAACCGAAAAGAGAAACACTGACTGCTTTGTAAAGGCTGAATTTAGGACATGATGAAAAGGATGGAAATGGTGTTTGAATAAGAAAGAATGAACATGGGAAACAAAAATCAGCTGACTGACTAACTGAGTGACAAAATCAGATTAGAACCTCTAACACAGGTGCATCGGTCCAGGTGGCCAAAAAGAACAGGTGGATAGAAAACGAGTGATATCAATTTAGACAAAATTGTGTCTCAGTGAACAATAAACAATTTGAGGATAATGGTTCATGCAAATATTCAGGCTTTAGAACATGTCAAGGAGCGAATACATCTATACCGTTGTGACCAATTTTCAGCCATGTCAACAAGAGTCAACAATCAACCACTGCTGATTCCTGTCATCTCAGAAACCTCAACCAGCCAGTCTACTTCTCCCACACGATTCAGACCAACAGTCAGAGACTACCTCAATTGGTACCAGATCTTGATCTGGTCACACTCATTCCTATTACAACCTAATACAACCTCTTCCAGCATAGAAAGCTGAGATGGGCGGTGGATTGGCATTCACACCACATGCCCAAGCCATCTCAGTCAACAAGGGTTCATAACCTCATCAATCGACTTCCCTGTCTTGCCTAGTACCCTCCACCTGACCTCAACATTGCTCACATAGTGATTCCACCAAACGCGAACAATACTTCGAAGACATCTGTGATTAAAACAGTGTGATTGCTTCCATCTTCTTCTACCTTCAGTGGCCATGTTGCACGGTGGTACAAGAGTACAGAATGAACAGCAGCGCAGTGCGACCGTTGTAGGAAATCTGGTATGTGGGAAAATAATAGAGATAATGTGAATAGTGATGGAATAATATAAAGATATTCTAAGAACCTTAATTAAAATTTGGTGACTTAACGTAGAGAGAAAGTGACTGGAATATGAATAATGTTTAGGAATGGTAGATGAAGTGATAAAAGAAGCAAGACTTCGGTGAACAGATTTGTTTTTTGGATATCTCATCCTCAGAAGCTATATGATCGCGTTTGAATGCAATTATTTTTAGTCTGTGAAGACGTTTGAATTTGACTCTCTTTTAGGCATTCACCATTTGAACTGTTCCTGGATAGCCGGTCACCATCACCAAATCACTAAGCCAGTTCTGCATCACGTTTCTGAACATCATCCATCACGGCTAAGATTAGTTAGAATCAGATAGATTATGAATTCTGTACTTTAATATCAAGCTGTTCGAGGTCATCAGAATAAGTAAATGAGTCATCTAAACTTATTTGTCGCTTTTCACTATAGTTCTTTAGGTATGGGTGTCTCATAATGAAACTGCATTATGTTCTACAATGACATTCCAAACTCATAGTCACATCATGGTAATCACAAAGCTTTCGTGCTTAATTGCTTCAGTTTTCCTCTTTTTCATTTTATGATTTAATTATTCAAAAAATATCTCCTTTCAGAAACGGTGTTCCTTCATTCCTCAAGAGTTAGATGTCGATTCAACAGACAACGGTTCACTTGTCAGTCTTTTTTTCAGAAACCCATAGTTACTTTTCAAAAATGTCACTTTATCGTGACAGAACAGAGTGACACATTTCTTCCACATGCAAACTAAGCACTTGACTTTAACCTTATTCACCCATAAATACGAAAATGAAAATACTTTAGACTATGAAACCAAAGAAATAAGACAAAAATTAAGGTACTACTGTCTACAAAAAGACTTCACATTTTCGACTGATGCCACGATTCCAGGCCATCCCATTCAGCTTCAGCTAAAGCATGGTTGGTCAAATACTGAATCAACAGAGGACAAGAACTGACCGGTAAGACAGATTATCTGTGTTAAGATATGAAACAAAGAAAAGTATCATTACTGGACAGTTAACTTTGTGCGTTTATTTAGAAACGAATAAAGAATGATGGAAAGAAATCTAATATCAACCCGATTACAGGCGGGAACAATAGTTCCAAAGAAACAGGACTGAAGGATTGTAAAACATCAGTAATTTCGCCGTATAAAAATAAATATCATGAGCCAAAAGTAGAGTTCTCATTCAAGCTGAGATGAGGGTAACTGTTAAACCTTCTAACCTGTTTAGAGACAAGTATTGTCAGACAAACTCTCTTATCAAACTTATTAGACAAAATAGTTTGATCTGCTGAACTTATGTAATGACAATGAGGCTAAATATGTTAGTCAAACTGGCCAGCTTAGGTCAGGCTAGAATATAAACCAAGCTAAATAGAGAACGGTAGATTTTAGTATAATATGAAGTCTAGTGAAGGGTTGAGCTATTGACAAGCATGCTGTCAGAAACAGTAAAATTTTAAAGTTATAACTTTAGTAGTTGGAGAAAGACTAGCAACGAAAGCTTCATCCATCCAGTCAATACCTCACGCATGTATTAGGAATGAAGCAACACCGATTGCTGAGGTAAAAAAATTACTAAAAATTGAATGACGAAATGGAAAACAGAAAAATTAAAGTAACTGAACACGAAAGCCATGTGATTATCATAATATGATTATGTATTTGGAACGTCATGTAGTAAATAATACTTTTACAATCTAATCTGATCACACCTGCTCCTATCATATTTATATGAAAGATTAACAGGAAGTGGACATTGAGAATATGAAAGAAGACCAAGTTGAAAGTCTGAATTGACGGTCAAATCATCAGAGCAATATAACATACAGCGATATTGGATTCACAGCAAACATACCCTGAATAATGTTTGGTAGGATAACAAATTGGTTTCGAGTATATGAAGGTGACCTATACTTTTCAATGGTTAAGGTCTAAACGAATCTGATGATCCACCCTCATCACTTATCATGTTTCGCCTCTCATTTATACTTTAAGAATCCACCTTTTGCGTGCAGCCAAGGCTGTTACGGTTCATCTGAACAAATCAAATTTGCATGTTCAAGCGAAATTTGCACAGATACTATCTTTCCTCTGATCAGTTACATAATTTAATTTAACATTCATAGGCTGTATAAAATTGCCCTTCCCTCTCAGCACTTTACAATTCTTTTCAGCTTTCATTTATTTTTCTTCAGTAACCAGTGTCAATAACTGATTGGTTGGTCACTAGAAAGTAGCCAATTTCATGTTGTGTAGTCTCAGGGCTGACCATATAATGTCAGTCGCTGCTGTGGGGCTGAGTATCTTGGTATGGCTGTGGCAACTGACATAAAGCTGTGCATATAAGATTTGTATTCGTTGGCAGTCGTCAGGTAGGCATGTCCACAAACACCAAAAGAAGTGATGCGTTGTCAGCCATGTGAACCCGCTTCACTCCTTGTTACAACCATTTTCATCATCATTGAGTTATTGAACCTGCAAATTATCTCATATAGGATAAAACTGCATAACTTCATCCGAGGTTGAAGATATGTCTTGCTGACAAGCTCTAATAAGCATCAAACTTATGTGCAAGGTTGTCTACGGATCGGCTTTAAGAATCTGATTTCTTCCTTATTCATTATGTGTAGTACGTAACCTGTTCTCTGAGTAACAATCTATTTTGGCCATCATCATTTTATTTTATCCAATTATTTTACTTTCTTAACTGCCATTCTAATTTCAGAGGTAAGTTGTCACCATCCGAATACCAATTATCTTCTAGATTGTCTTCATCGTGTCGGTTTTTTACATGTAATCGATTCAAGGAAGCTACCTACTAACGTAGAAATGAGGAAAAAGAACTATTTTTAAAAATCACAAAATTGACCGTTTTATAAATCCTTCAAAGGGCATCCTTTTATTAGTAACACAATTTTCATGACACTCAAGTATACGAAATTCTATCTCGCAAAATTGTAACCGCCATGAGATTTCGAAAATAAGATGAGCTCTTTTAATCAACTGTATGAAGCCTGTGATCATAAAAAAATTAAGAAGCCACTTGTATTCACTTACCTGATGAGGCATTAACAGCGAGATGTTGAGTTATGAAATCTGAAAAACATGGACTAAAAATCATTGTTAAAACCAATGAAAAAGTAACTTTGGTCAGAAAATCTTTTTTATGAAAGTAAGGTAAATCAAGAAAATAGAAGCGTTAAACACGGTAGCTTGTGAACAACCAGCATATGATTAATTAAAAAGGGGCAAAAGCTTTGATTTAATGTCATTAGATAAACAAAGAAGAAATTACATATCGAAGCACTGGGTAACGATTTAAAGTGAAATAAAAAACTGAGTTACTGAAGGACGAATCCTTCTGAGAAGTGTTACATTGCTTGTTTATAGGAATATCTCAGATAGAGGTGGTTCATCAAACTGCTATTATGACTACTGCTGATGTACCATTTTGTATAAAATATTTTTTCTATTCGTACTTCAATACTCAGCCAGTTAGGGTAAATAAATGATACTTTATTAACCGATGCTTTATTGTGTATAGTACTCACTTAGTTAGTTCACATGAGTTCAAATGTGTATGTTTTGAGATGTTTTAAGAAATAGGATTTTCATCACCCAATAAATGAAGAAAATTGATTGCCTACCACAGAATGCCGTATAACGTATGTTAAGCAACATATACTATTGTTCCTAGATATCAAAGCTCAAAATCAGAAAAATTATAATTACATAGGAATTAATTTTTTGTAAGGTTATATAGTCCACTTTTGTCAAGACATTTTAATTTTTCGTTTAAAACCTAGAATTCAAATGAAGACTTTTCTAATCAGGTACATAAAAAATTAACCCAGCATATAGAAACACATATTTGCGAAACAGAAATAATTTTCTGTCCATGCTTCTCAACTTATCGGTGACATAAATTAGTCAAAAACCACAGCTCAGCATTAACAACTCAGGATAACGTTTTCATATTGCAGTCATGTGCTAACTTTATAAAACAACCAAACTATAAATCTGAGACTGGAAATGCAATTTTTGAAAAAGCTGAAATTAGGAAGTGATGAACATATTCATTGATGATTATAATATTTAGCTTAACTTTATGCATATCCTGCCTAGATAAGTATGAATAAATACCTTGGTAAGTATACCAGCTATCATAGACCTTAGCAGTCTAATGTAAGTGTATATGATATATAGTGGCTTAGATTTCAATGCATTATATTTGAGTGCTCCGGTTTTCGATTCCTAGCATTGAAGTAGAATAAATATATACGAAAACACGCATTCATTTGTGTAAGCAGTGATGTCAGTGGTTCTCTATTCCATCTCTCTAAGAGTAACGTTTGTATCACAATGTGATTTACATGAGAAACGAAGATCCTTTATTGAAATACTGCCTTAAATCTACTGTCAGTGAATAAAGTTGTTCCACTTCCTCATAGTGGAAACAATAAAATTTGTTCTACAATACGCTTATGCATATAACATTTTTTGGGTTCACTGCACTATACATTCATTCCAGTACAAGTTTTTATGTCCTCTGGTTAGGAAGATTATGAGAGATTAAAAAGTATAGTTTGAGATGACGGCCTGGCATGCAACTTTCGACTTTATCATTGATGAAAACCTGTGGCCTTTATGGCAAGCCAAGTCGGGACTTATGGTAGATACCTACTAAAGATATCGAACAGGGGTCCTGTTGCATCATGAGTTGACTACAGTTGATACCCAGCAGTTCCATGGTGAGCTAAATGCCACGAGACGTTAAGATACTTAACAGGGCTGTGTGTACACGTTTCTGAGTGAAAGGATAAGTAATCTTCTTCTGTAAGCCTAAAAATGGCTGCAAAGTTTGCTGTTCAACTAATTTGGTATATTCTAAAAAGGTTATCTCTTGAACTCTACCAGGAATTATGTCCTACGTTGATTTGCGAAAAATATATTAAGAACAGGATTTTTCAGATCTTTTACTGTGTTACTCATGTGAGTTCACTTTAATCGATACATTGTAACCAATGTTTAAATAGAAATGTACACCTAACTGATTATTTGTGAGATTTGTATTCCTCGATTTTACTGAGGACCAATTACCTTCTGAGGACTCCTTCATCTTGATAGAGGAGAACTACAGCTTGTTTATCCATGTCAAGATGAGATCCATTTAAACGTGTAAACATCTCACCTCTAGTGCGACGGTATTTACATTTAAGAGTCATTCTGCTAGAAGACCGTTTGCTTTATCATAATAATTCCATAGTTTAACTCCCATATTAATTTACCTACTATCAATGGCAACGTGATTTCATTGGTTTACAGTTATCTTTCATATCTTCATTTATGAGAAACCAATTGGAGCTACTTGTCATATGCAAACTTCTGTAAACATATGTATATATCAGAATTATTTGTTGCGCAAACAACCATCTCATTTCCTGAATCTGTCTCAAACACTAAGCAGTATACTTTTATTCATCAAATGTAAAGGAATAGAATAAAGAAGTGGGACTTGAATAAAGCCTTGCAAGCATTATTTATCAGTCTGTTCGCTTTGAAGATTTCATAAGTGATGAAACAGTGAAATAATGAGTTAGTTGAAATTCAAGCAACCAACGTAAACGTGCATCCTTAATGTAAGGTAAAACGTTTTCTACTCATCAGGTGACGTCAATATTCAGAGCAGGCTATCAGCGTCAACTAATCCGTGGTAAGGATGTCGGAATCAGTAGTTATATACCGAGATAGTGATGGTTAGATTCCTAAAAATTGTGCTCAACAAGTAAAAAACATTAAATATCTCTATCTACATTTAGAACAAGAATATTTTGAGCGAAAAGTGGTTTCCCGTATTTTTCTCTTCAGACTCTACAGTTATAAATCAGTGAGAATAGGTGAAATTAGAAGCCAATAAAAGGCATAACGTGAAATTATTTCAATTTTGAAGTACTCATTGTTATGGGTGAATGGTGATTAAATCGAATGATATGGGTTTTTATCAGGTGGGATCAGTCTAGTGTTTGTTCTACAACCAAATCAATATTAACAGAACAATTACTATATGAGCCAGCACCGGACCGGAAAAGCGGTGGTAGCTGGTTCATATCCCGCCGCGACCAAAATTTTCATTTCACCTTCAACCATCACCCAGTATCTGTACTAGTTTCCCAAACCACGTCTGTCTCACTCAGACAGTCAAAATGATAATCTCTAGATGAGACAAATTCCAGAGATAGTGACTGATTTATTAACATATATCTGGGATATAAATATGAGTGTTTATTTACTAAGGATCAAATAATCATTTCGCAGCGATGAATTATATTCATGTAGGTGAAAAACCATACGAATACAATAACAAACTAACAAATTTGGAGTGTTAAGTGGAGCTTGAGAGCGACTACCTGTAATAATAAAGATGAACAAGAGCATAGAACTAATAAAATATGAAAATGAACGTCCATTACAGAAATCGAGACAAAGTAAAAAAATGGAATTAGGTGGGATAGGATGGTAAAATGTAAAATTTATGATAGAAGAGCTCATAAAGAATGTGTTGACTCTGTTGCGGGCCAAGGTACACATTAATGCACGTATTTATTTTGAAAACTTAGATTAGGTTTCCCCGTACTAAGTCGTACAAGTTCGTCTAGAGAAAAGATGCGCAGTCATGCTGCTTTGGGGATATTGCAAAAAGCATGATATAACACAGAACTGGAATGATGGAAACTTACATCCCTTTGACTGAATTTTCACTTACGCATAACACTTTCAATAATAAAATAACTTTACGCCGTGTCTTAGTTTGAATGTTGTATTTCATCTATTCTCATGGATTCATAACTGTGGAGTCTGAAGAGAATGAAATTGAAAACAATTGTTTGCTCGAAAAACACTTTACTGAACTTCAGGTGTTCCTTATGAATTCATTTTTTATAACCACTTTCTCTTCCCTAGTTTTCTCAATTCACATTCACGTGCTTAAATTTTGATTGAAAGTTCATCAATTTTCGCTTTAGTTACTATTTTACCAATTCTGAGCAACAACTAACGTTTCCGTTCAGGTTGTGGC